TAAAATAAATAATACTTTCAAATTATATGGTAAATAGTTAAAGTTTTTTTTAAAAAGCGTATGTATATATTTATTAATTTATACGCAAATTCTTTTCTACATTATTTAAATATTTCTTTGCAAACTATAATTTTAGAACAAAATGTTACTTGAAAGTTGATTTATCAACTTATTTTATAACGCTTTCATTTTAAGCAACATCAGTATCTCGTTTTATCTCAATTGTAACTGTAAAAGCGTAAATTAACACGTCAAACAAGACCCAGATTTAAGTTAAAAGTTAAAGCACTGATTTGCGGGGATAAAATCAGAAAGATCGAACATTAATCTCTCCTCTCTTTCCTTTTTTTTCCTTTCTCTTGCGGAAAAATATCCGACAAATTCATTAAAAACGAAATCAAAAAAGGACGCAAAAAATGGGGAGCATCAAACAGATATTTCAGAGAGGTCGTAATTTGCCAGGCTTGGCAGCGCGGTTATACATGTCGAGCGACGTATAAAACCACAATAAATCTCACTCAAATAACAAATCCTGCCCATATTATCGAAAAATACATGGTATTCCGATAGGTTGTGTCTTCACGGTCGTGTAAATCTCGCATGGATGATACGAAGAGTGAAGAAGAGAAGGATGTGGTGAAAATAAAGCATGGAACGAGAATTCATTCGTTACTATCAATTGTAAAAATATTTCGACAAAATAATCCAGGATAAAAACTTGAAGAAGAAGACCAACTAATCTGATCTTATAAACTCATCAAAAATATGAAAAATTAATGTGCCAGTCACAAGCAAGTTGATTTTGCCTTTATCAAATAATATTTCAAAATCTCATTTGACCTGTGTGATAGGACTATATAAAATATATATCATATCATGTGTAACATAGTGAAAGCGTCATTAATGTCGTTAATGTGAACATAAGTTAGATAAGTTCGTTTCACTTGACGTTCAGAACGTTCGCAAGCACATTTGTTAAACATTTGCCAAACAAGAATGAAATGAATCCAAGAACGTTGCGAACGTCAAGTGGAACGTAGCCAAGAAGAATATTTCGTACTTCTTTTATACTCCTTGTACCTCTTCTCTTTTCAAAGTTATATTAGTTTATAAACCGGACGAGAATACCTGAACATTGCATTCTCGTTGCTTCATACGTGCATATCGCGAATGTACAATAGGATAAGCGAGATCGCACGTGATCTAGCGGCGCTTACGATGTCGGGTTATGGGGTATTAAAGGATAACGACTGCATATTGATATCTGCGTAAGAGCGCGCGTCAGTTGCGCAAAATTTATTCGTGCCTGTGATAGTGCCGTTGCGTAGATTAACCTCAGGAATATCAGGCCGCGAATATACGCCATGTAAACGTCTCTGGAATAAAGTTATTATAAAATATGAGTACGTTGCGCGAACTGTTACAATTAAAAGTTTCTAAGCGTTTTCGGTACGCTTAGTATTAGTACAATTAAAGGCGATTTATCGTACACGATATACGAATGTGTTACGGAATGTGTTTCATTTAATGATAATAATATTCACAATTACAAATCGGAGTTAAACCGTTTGTCTCTTTTGCGATGTCATGTCATTAAAAACGTAATTGATCAATTTTCGTATTATCGAAGATATTCTGGTATATATTATATATTTGCATCACATCGTGTAAAACAGGAAATTAATAAATATAACAGCATATCAATTACAGCCGCTTTTCCATTTAAATTCAGCTGACATTTAGAATGCATTTATCAGAAAAAAGAGTCTTACTATCATTTTATTACATTCGCAGTCAAGATATTTTTTGCTGATAATATTACCTGACGTTCATCATATTGGTGCTCGTATTGATATTGCAAATACACATTTTATGTGCTATAAATATATATTATGTATCCTGATAATTAATAAACATATTTTAATGTATGTTTAATTTATATACATATAATATTATCATTAAAAAAAATTAAAACTTTGCATATTAGCAAACATTTTACAACGCTTTATCTACTCTTATATATTGTAATATATCTTTACTCTATAATCATTTATGAGTAGGTTAACGTATTTAAATATTTAATTAGATACAGATCTGAGAATAATTTTGTTGTACCATCAAAATAATGATTAATTACTCAAATTAGTTATAAAATATTTAGAATGTCAAAATTTTTTGCAGCATTTTTCATCATACTTGATTCGTACATAATTATTTTAATGGTCCGACAAAATTATTTTCAGATCTGTATCTAACTAAATTTTTAAATACTTGAGGAAAATCGTTCTTTTCGCGTAATTATATAATATAATTAGTCTCTTAAAACTAAATTACCAAAATGAAAACTGAAACACAGCACTGCAAAACTGAAATTCGCGTATCCTTTTTCATTAAGAAGATTAAAGAAGTAGTAACATTAAAGTGCAAAGATAAAATTTACCATGTATTATACTATAATCGATTTGCGTAATTACCTATTTAGTAAATACGTACTATTTATTAGTAAATATTGAAGTTGTACGACAATAATTATTGAAATAACAATTAAAAAGTTTTTCGACGAATAAATCGGAGGATAAATCAGAGAGGATTCTCAGCAAGAGATCAACTACCTAAAAGTTTTTCCTCCGAACAAACTACTTTTTCCGGCGCGAGTAAACTTGTACTGGCAACGCCCCGGCCATAAGAAACCGTTGTTTCCGCGACAAGATATCTTCTACGCTCTCAGAAACGTTCCCTGCAAATTCGACGAGTTTCTCGACAAGACGTTAGTCGTAAGAACCTAGCAGACCGACCCGGTTGTTCCTGACCTGGGCAATTCGTTACAACCCCTCGCCGCTCTCGTCGGCATTGCTCCTTCGTTACTCACACTTGTATGTATATACGCGATACTAATTTCCCAGGTCCCATGAAACCTGCGGTTGATTTCTCCGGATTCGTATTTTCCTGGTTTTTTACGATCACATCGCACATCCAAGAGATAATATCATTACAACTTTACGAAGAAATTTACGATTCGCTATCATTTCGATTATCTCGATTGGACACAAATATACGTTGACTGAACAAATTTATACCTAGACGTATAAGGATGACACATAAATAGCGTTATTTTAAGTTAATTAAATATTTATTTGCTAATTTTCAATAGAAATTTGATTTATACAATTATGATTAATATCATAAAATATTCGATAACCAATTTTCACATTATTTCGTCGAAATCGAAAATTTTATTTCGTTTCTTACTTAATTAATATTCACAATGCCAACAGTCAAGCGCTGGCAGAAATACTTCCACCGTTTAAAAACGGAAAAACATAGCAAAACACGTTCAGAGACGAAATTCTGCTCGATCAAAGTCGATGGTAAATTTTGGGTTTCCGCGATCAAGCCTGGACCACGCTTTCATTTTACATTTAGCTGTATCGGCTAATGAGATCCTCGCGACGTCATCCCCGGAGATTATGGGTAATGCATCGCCGGAGGCTGTTCCCGTGCCGCGGCGTTTCGCTCGGCAAAAGTTACTCGACAACATTTTTGCTCGTATCATAGTTATTAGTATTTCGTTCGGTGCTCCTGGCGGCTTTTGCACGGATTATCCGATTATTCAAATTCTCTTATCCCGCAGACGCGTTTGATAAAACCTTTTACCCTCGAAGACGACGTTGCACGAGCGTCCGGGACAGGGGAGGGGGTAAGGCTTAATCATTCATGTTCTAATTTCATACAGGACTTCAATCTTGGTATAAGAATTGAATTGCCAAAATAGACGATATTCGCGGAACAAAGGATTTGCTTAACCTCTTTAATGTCTGTCAATGTGCCTCTTCGTAGAGCTCGTCAGAATTCCTCAACATTCTTGCCCCAAAATTATTTCCAACTAAATTGAGCTCTAAAATGTGCCTTCGCAGTAGGGCTATGCAAATTCCGTGCACATCAGTTAAAAGCCGGTAATAAATGGAACCCATTTCAGGCGCGTGATTTCGGTGATAAAGGGAAAATAGTAACGTGCGAAAATGATCTCCTTTCCGAACGGTTAGAGGAGTTTCCTACTACAATAAACATTGGCGACGATGATAATAGCCGCTATGTAGACACATACATTCCGTAAATTGAAAATCGATATCGAAATCCTGTGCACTTTCAATGAGGCTTACGAGTTTCATGGGGTGGTAAGAGCAAATAGTCTTCGATTTAACAATTTTTATAAAAGGACCCATTTCAAGCGAGAAGATGTGAGAAAAGCGGATTCCGATTGAGTGGTATGAAGTAAAAATGAGTGCAGCTGTTAAATGGACCGTTTGAAAAAAAGAAGGAAGAATCACCACGACTTGAAGTATTTTTATAACGTATACATTTCAATGGTTTGCATTTTTTTCACACTTGGCTAATTTCATATCCAATGAATAAGATGTAATGCCTACGTAATAAATATACTGAAGTATTAAAACTGATTGTTAAATCAGAGATAAAAAATTATATTATATTTCCTCAAATTAATTGTTACATAGGATAATTCGTTCAATAATAAATAATTTTACTGTTCTCTTAAGATATTTATGCGCGTTTAATCCTTAATACACATAATGATTTTCCGGTCCTTTACTATATTCGATGAATCGTTCGTATTCCAAGTTCATTTTCATCATTTTTACAAGTATACAAAAAAATGTGAAAAAATTCTATATACACTTTAATATTTTTATAAAATATTTCTAAAATTATATATATTCAAATAAGAAAAGAATAAAGACTATTATATTTGACCAAGTGCTCCTAGTATTTCAAAGAAAGGAAATGCGCAGGACATGAATGATCATGGTGTACTAAGGATAAAATTTCATTATTTACTTGAGTATACCTTTCCTTTGAAAAGGTCAAGGTTCTGTACTGTTATACATACAGCCGCAAGTATAACATCGAAAACCCATCGCTGACACATTCTCTCGCTCCTTGATTCAATAATACGACAATCGTGGGCGATAGGCATCACTTACCGGCATGCTGTTCAGTGTGAATGAGATGCGAACCGGTGGCTTCGAAGGCGGCAGGCTGCAATTTGCCCTCAACATGTCTCCTGGGTCGTAGCGATCGCGTTCCGATACGATAACGGGCTTTTCAGGGGGCAGAACTGAAACATAATAATTTCGCGGGTCCCTCTTATAGTCATTGTCGACGAAACTCGAGCACGGAGCGGCGGTGGTGATACGGGGAAGCGGGCGCACGTAATCGCTCCGTTTCCCCGTGCTCGCCGCCGAACTTATCCAATATTCAAGCGCCAATGAGGAGACCCCGTTATGTCGCCAGCTTTATGCGCTTCCGCAGAGTACAATGGAGTACGTGTATTGCGTAATCCCGACGCCATCCTCAGAAGGCAGTTACGAACGCGTAACCGTAGAAAAATATTAAACGCGGTACGTGGATATTGATTTTACCGTGGTAGCGCGAATCGAGTAAACGCGGGGCGTTGCACTGCAAAGACAATAGCGGCAAACTGAAACTGTGATTAAAAGCTTGTTTGTTCTGCAGCAAAATGAAGTGTTCGTGAATGGAACCGGCTATTGCCGCCGCACAGATATAACGGACCTGAAGTAATAAAGCAAACTTTGTATTGGAAATTCACTAATCGTTGCGATACTTCAAACAGAAAACGTAACACGCCGGAGTAATCTAATTTCGAAGAATTGCAAACGTATGTGTATCAGATATCCTCTGGTAGAACGAGAATCTCTTAAAAACTCAATAATTAATAAAATGATTATTAGTAAAATCGATTTTGTTTAAAACGTATCAAAGTTACACTCAAACAATGCATCTAATATATTTATAATATAGCGGATATATATTGAATTTATTTGATATTTACGTATAAATATTGAAATGCATAAATATTAGACATACATATACAGATTTCAATTTTATTCATAGCACAAATACTTTTGAAGAAATTGAATGTGCTAGAAACGTATCGTCAATTTACAAAGCACTTCAACTTTATCACTAAACTATCAAAGTTCAGAACGGCCAAAGGTATTATGTTTACTGTATGCTTCACTCAGAAAAAATTTTCCAAAAACTTTTTTACTTATTTAGAAGAATAACATTTTTGCTTGTCCATTACATATACATGTATAGAATGCATCCATTATGCACACAAATGACTGTAAATGAGAATATGTGGATAATTAAAAAAATTTCGTGTTTATTAAACTCGCTGGTTCGCGTAAAGGAGATAGTATCTCATACTTAGCGTCAAAACACTACCAGTATCTCCAGATAATTAAAATATGATTCAAATTGAGAAGTATATATTGACTTCGACGATTAATTTTCAGGTATCAAGTATTATTAGAAAATTATCACTGTTCATTTTACCATATGCTAATTAGTGATTCGTGATTCATGTATTCAGACTAACTTGTGTCCAAATTAAAATAACTAGAGCTTATTATAAAATTATAATGGCGTATTTTTAGTTAGATATTCATCGAACCAATATTATGAATAATTTAATTCCTCAAATAATTTAGAAGGTCAAGTCTACAGTGAGAGAAATGATTTTGTTATAAGAATAAATTAAAGGAAAGCAAATGTGAGATTTGTTAAAAAAACGATCGATTTATTACGATTGCAAATTAATTATTCGTCAATGTAACAAATAATCAATAATATCGCTAGCAAATAAGAGGCTCATATATATAAAAGTCGTAGATGGTTCCAGGATCTTAAATCATAAAATTGACCAATTCTCCTTATATTTGACTGTGCTTAGTCGGTTTCTTACGATTTAAGAATCCATGGTCATCTACGAATTCTATGTAAACGAACCTAAAGTCTATCCAAAAAATAGGTTAGATTGTATATAGTTTGCTTCTGTTACTAATAATTGATTAGTATAGACTAGCAACAATCACAACAAAATTTTTGTCACATATTTATCGATCACCGGTTAAAGGTACTGGTGGCTTGTTTAACAAAACTAACAAAATCCTTTCTCTCAATGTAACAGATTTCGGCATTATGTTTTCCCATAAATTAATAGAAATTTCTCAACAGTATCTATAATAAATAAACTGCATAAGTAAACGAGAAAATTAAACATGGAATCTGTAAACACCTCCCGTGTATCATATATATTTTTATATTTAAGATATTTAATAATCAAGTCAGCAAATCAAGTTTGGTAGTAAGAACAAAATCGTATATGTTACGAAAAAATTACGTTACGAGAGATTAATTCATTCACATGATCGAATTAATTACAGAGTTAATAAAATAATATTGAAAAAATAGAAAATGTTCTGAGATTTTCAATCGATGCACTTCGATAATGCGTTATAGTATCCACTCAACTTGGACTTTTCGATTACTCTCACGTTCTTAACTACGAGCTTCGTATATGTGTACTTTATACAGCGAAGCACTTGAAGTCACTGTACTTGAGATGAAACCGGAAGCTATTGCTGATAAGTCAAGTGAAAGGAATAACCGTGAAATCTCCTAAGTTCTGCTCGAGGCGACGATAAACTGACGACTCGTGAAACGATAGAACGATTAATCGAATCTCGGTTACGTTGCCACGTTTCGTCAATGAATAGTATCGTGCAAAATTGATAAAGAAGCACGATAAGAATGCTGAAGCTATTCCTCGTACAATACGAACACGAATTCATGAATGGCTGATATTTAATATTGGATCCTGTTATATGAAAAAAAATAAAAATCTGAGACGTTTAGAAAAAGTTTATAATGCAGAACTCCTTTTGTCTGGTAATAAATTAAACGTTATTCGAATATAAAGTATTCCTGAATCATGATATAACTAAAATTACATGACATAGCATATTACCGGGCGCAGAAAATTTTCAGTTTTATTTTCTTCTTATTAGCAAAAGCTTTATTACCGTCTATTGTTATAAAAAAAAAATCATAATGACTTGTACTTTTTCCCAGAACTTTTAATAAAAATAACAGAATAAAGAGTAGAGAGAAAAAAATAACCGACGCGCAATTGTTAGATATCGTAAAAGAATTACACGATAAAACTTTTACTGTGACATAAAAAAAAGTCTATTTATTTTGTGCCGAGTTTTCCTTGTTATATTTAAGTAAATTCCGATTAAGTGCACGTTTTGATATCGATTTATTACTGCGGTTCTATTGCGGTGCAAATTTTAACACGATGTCATTACGATATGAGAAAATCGATATGAACGAAGGGAAGTAACATTCAGGAAAATTCAAGTAAGGATATAATTTTCATTTAAGCATATGAAAACTGTACTAGAACAAAATTCGTTTACTCTACGATTTTGCAATGTTATCGTAATATATGAATGTTCTGTATGGATAGTTTCTGCTCTACCAGAGAAGATTCTCTGCTTGAATTTAAATATTAATAAAGAAAGATCCGCAGATATTATGAAGATTCTCTGCTATTTGTAACGAAGGCACCATCGTGATCGAAGATTGCATGGTAGAAATGGAATTTTCGCAGATTATTACTATCGCGTTGAATATTCTTTCCGTATGTCTATCACTCTTGTACGAAATTCGTTATTTATGTAGATCAGAAAATATTTATCAGAATTGTTTTGCAAGATAGTAATGTACTGCAATTAAAGTAAAGAGTAAAAAGAAAATACTAGAAGCAAGTTTTCTACGAAGACTGTCTGCTGAAAAATAGATGTGATGCATTTACAGCAACTCGGTGAAAAAGAGGAAACTTTTAAATATTTGACGGGAGCACCGGGAATAGATGGAAGAACAATAAAACCTAAAATATTCCGTCGGAAAAAGAAAAGATAAGAATGCAATAAAGTCGATAATTATAAAACAAAAAAAAAAGGAATTCCAATAACATTTATATAGAAAATAAATATAAGTAATAAAAAAATTTTTTTTAATTATTTAATATTAAAAAGTTCATGTAGCGGTTCATTTTCCAATAATTAATTACTAAAAGCAATGAAGCCCTTTTATAAATAGGTGTGTGTATATATATATATATATATATATATATATATTTGATCTAAAGATAAAAAAAATAAAAGACTCAAAAATCTCAAATCGCAAAAGAATGCATTGCATCGTTTCATAAATAAATAAATATTACTCTAAATTAATATATTTACAAAAGTTTTTATTTGCTATCACTGCAAAACATTTTCAAAGTATTTTATTTAAATGCATTTGCTTGCGTTTGATGGCTGGGATATTGGATGATATGACTGATTCTTGAATTTTGCAGATTGAAATGGCTAACGGTTGCCAGAAATTTCGACAACCATCGCGCATCATTCAATCATCAATCTTGTTCTCCCCTTATCGGAAGTCAATTTCAAAGTTGGAATGACATACTACTATATACAATATATAAATTTTTGGTGACCGCGCATATGTTCCCATAAATAAAAAGTGCCAATTAAACGTGACGCATTTCTTCAATTAAAATGACAATAAATGCGTACAATAGTTAATTAGCATAAAATTCTCGTTTTGTTATTGTTTAAAAATATCTTTAAATTAAAACTTCGATTTATATAACATTTTATCGGATATCTCTGGCAAGAAAATTTTTCTGTCTCTTAGTTATCAAATTAAAAAAAAATTTATTTTTTTTAATAAATATAATAAATTAAATTATTTAGTATCGTCACGTATCACATTACGTAAAATAAAATATTAATAAATTTTATATTTAAATTTATTTTTGTTGTAAAAAATATTATAAAAACCGTTATCGTAGTAGGAGAGAAAAAATTTAATTAAGCGCGTCCAATAAAAAGTGTTATGCGCTAGGCAACGTAATGTTGTAACAACGCAAATTCCTAATGAATATTTTATTTAATGTTATAATGAAAGAACTGTTATAGAATTTCTATACATAAGTACAATCAAACATTTTCCATAATGTTTTGATAACGTATTTTTAAAATGTATATTTTCTACTAAAACAAAACTTAATTTGGAAGTGAATTTGTACAAGATGATTCACGTGTCACGTGTCTATCAAAGCATAAGAGGAACAGCTTAAACAGAATTACAAGGGATTTCGGATATAGTGTTCACTACTCTCGAGTATTATATTGTTCTTCTTCTTCTTCTGATGCGTATCCACTAATGGATGTT